GTGAATACCTTCCCAGCAGATTATCGAACCGAACGTTAGTCTGGGTAGGATGATTGAATTATATATCCAGTGGGCCGCCGCTGGGGTCAGTCCCCACGTTCCGCCTACCATTCTACTGATCGTCGCCAGATTTTTCCGTGCTCTGTCGATCGTTTTGTCGACCTGATTCTTCCATGTCAGATAGCTCGTAAAGGTAACTCCAAGGTATCTTACTGACTCTGATTTTTTCAGTTGTACTCCGTTGAATTTTATACCTTTTATATTCAGTTTCCTGACTTTTCGCGTTATTACCATTAATTCTGTTTTAGTGGGATTTACCGATAGACTGGTTTCTGAGCACCAATCTTCTACGATTCTCAGTGCTCTGTTCATTTCGTTCTTCACCGTTCCGCTGTCTACATTTGATACAGCTATCGCTATATCGTCCGCGTAGCCCCATACTTGAAAACCGTTATCTCTCAAACGTTCCAGTAGGCTGTTTACCACTAAACACCAAAGTATAGGCGATAAAATACCCCCTTGCGGGCATCCTCTATTAGCCAGTCCTTCTGCGCTCGTGTCGCCAAATTCTGTTGTAATAACTCTATCTGATAATAGTTTTTCTATCCACCTTACTACTGTCGCGTTTACATTATGATCTAGTAGTCCTTTTACAAATACTTCTTTCGGCGTCTGGTTGAACGCTCCTTCTATATCCATAAAGCACGCCACCGCGTATTTTCTATTATAATAAGCATCTTCGAGGTATCTCGTTATCCCATGCAACGCGGCTTCTACCGAGTGTCCGACGCGAAAAGCGTATTGTCTAGGAGATAGCGGTCGTTCTATTAATACTACATCTTTCATGTATCTGTCTATCTGTTTTTCCATAGATTTTAATAAGAATGACGTTAAGCTTATCGGTCTGAATGCCTTAGGTGAGGAGTAATCTGTTTTCCCTGGTTTCGGTATAAACGTTATCTTTGTTCTTCTCCAATCGGTCGGTATGTATCCGATGGCCAGGCTGGCTCTCATTATTTTTGCTAGATGCGGCGTGATTAATTGACGGCCTACTTTCAGAAATTTAGGAAATATTCCATCAGGTCCGGGCGTTTTATACGGGAGGAAAGTTCCTATCGCCCAATTAATTCTCTCCCGATATAAACTTTGATGCTAGTCCCCAGTCTGGTCTGGGATTTCTCGTCAAATAGATTCTTTCCGTTTCCTCGTTTGACCTTTGTTCAGTGTTTGTGTCATTTATTGCCCCCGGGAAATGTTCCGCAATCAAAACTTCGAGCGTTTCTCTAATATTATTGGTCAGTGTGCCGTCTCTTTTTGTTAACAGTCCTAAACTGTTTTGATCGACTCTTTCGAGGACCCTGTTTATTCTCGCTATATCTTGTAGTTTTTTCAGTCCTTTGCAAAAGCCTCGCCATGATTTCCTTTTTGCCTCTCTAATCATTCTGCCTAGTTTCAATTCTGCCCTGCGCTGTTTCCGTTTGTCTCTCGTTCTGTTTGTTCTGCGAGCTTTTCTCCTTAGCTTTTTACACCTTTCATCCACTTTTTGCAGGCTTGTACTCCACCATGGAAGTTTACTATGAAAACCTTTTGATTTACATATCAAAGCTTCGTTTGCCGCGTTCGTTATTGCGTTTGTCACATGTTCTAGGTAAGTGTCAATTTCTTGCGGGGTGCCGTATACTTTCGGTGGATCGGTCAATTTATCTTTTAATGTTTTCAGATAGCAGTCAATGTTTAGCGATCTCTTTTCGCTTACAATTTTGTTTGTTGGAATTCCTCGGATTTTCAAGATAAACGTGATGTATCTGTGATCCGATAACGATGGATCATCGAATACTCTCCATTCTTTCATTGCCGGTTGGATTTCTGCCGAAGTCAACGTTACATCCAGTATTTCCTCTCTAATAGACATACTAAATGTCGGTCTTGTACCCTCATTTAACCAGGTCAGGTTGTTGCTATTTATAAAATCCAATAATTTCAGTCCTCTGTCATTCGTGGTTGAGCTTCCCCACAATTCATGACACGAGTTCGTGTCTGCTCCTATGATTATACTTGCTGCTTGTCTAACGCACCATTCTACTAACAATTCCATTCTATTCGAGATCGGATTTCTTTCATTGTATGGCATGTACGCCGATACAGCTACTACTTTTGATAATCGTGAATTTTCGTTATTCTTTTCCAGGAGCATCGTTGTCATGTCTCTGTCGCTGAATTGCGGTAACAGTACTGGTTTTATTCTGTTGGTATGTATTATACATGTTCTTGGTCTGTCTCCCGAGCATCTATTTAAGACGTTTCCTAACATTCCAAGTCCTTTAATCTTATCATTAATCGTCCAAGGTTCTTGTATTAATGCTATATCTATTTTATGCTTTGTTATTAGGTTTGCTACAGCTCCGGAGGCCGCCCTGGATCTATGCAGGTTTATCTGGACAAATTTCAGACCGTCCATCCTGATCGTTTGAATTTGCGATTGTCTCAATAGATCTGTGTGTATCTTTGGATGGTTTCTGAGACGAGAAGTGCTTCCGTATACGTTCTTACGTTAATGTTATCGTAGTGTATTCTTTTGGTTTATCTTACTTACAAGAAACGTGATTTCTTATTCACGTTCCATATAATAATTCATTCCGTTTGTGTT